ATTTCAAGGAGGAGATATATCGGAGGAGAAAAGGTTGTATGTATATGGAGTTTCTGCATATTCACCTAGATTTGGAGTAATGGAATCCTTTTTAGAGCAAGTTAATCGACCTTTAACAGTTCAAGAAGAGGCTGCAAATATTGTTATATCAGGTTAGAGAATAGTTGTTGAGTGGGGATTTGGTAGAGTTGTAAATTATTGGGCATTGAATTCTTTTCACTCTGGTCTGAAAGCGGGTTTATCACCAATTGCTAGTTACTATACGATAGCTGCATTACTGAGTAACATTCTTTTATGTATTTCTAGTGGAAATCAAGTTTCAGAAAAGTTTAGTTTATCACCTCCAATAGTGGAAGATTATTTGTTTTTAGCAGATATACAAGTGAGGGAAGACTGATAGGAGAAGAAAGAAAAAAATCTTCCTGTTTTTGTTAAAGTATTTTCAAAATTCCTATAGTATTCTCCTTAACCTATTTCAAAGATACTTCAGTATTTTTCATACGAGTTTCCAGTCCATGAAAACATAACTCTATTGCTTCAAGTTCTAAAAGATTTGAAGTGGATACAGGAATTCCTGAGGTACTCTGAACCGGACCAGCATTGCTTACAACTGGTACAAGAGCATTCACAATATGCTCAAACATGGAGGTTAAATGTCCACTTTCCTCTGCCAGACTCATATCCAAAAATTTACCCTGCTCTTTGATTTTCTTTCTTTTGTCTCTTATGCTCTCCACCTTTTCCTCCTTTGCCGCAGTCTTCGACAGACTTTGAGAACCAGTAACCTTCTCTTTACCCTTCTCCTCCTTTCTTCCTAATCCCTCTCTTTTTTCTCCTCCAGCCACTTCCTCCTCTTCAGCCTCTTCCTCTTCCTCCTAGTAATGTGTATGGAGTGCTGCTACTACGGCTTGGTAATTTCATTTACCACTCATTATTGTAAGTAATCTTTGTCAGTATGTCTTAGCAGCGGTATTATTGGCTGTCTTTTTTGCTTTTGACTTCTTACTTGTAGTCGTATTTCCACGACCATCACCACTCTGCCTTGTATTTTACTATTTATTTATTATTGTTAGTAATTTATAGTAGAGAGAATTAGATAGAAAAATAAAAGAGTAATAACATGAGCGAAGAATGTTGTTTATAGACTTACTCTATCAATGCGTAGCTTCTACTGAGCCATCGTTTGCTCATATTCTCCATCTGCCTGTACCTTACCACTTTCTCTCACTTCTTTATCCATCTTGACATAGGATTCCATCAGCATTTGTGCCATCGTACTGTGTAGATTACTCACTGGTCACCCAATTGCCTAGGTAAATAATTCCTGCATTGTGAGCCAAAAACATTCCTGATTTCCACCGAGTGAAAATTCCCTACCATGCAGAACACATAGCCAAGCCAGGAGCAGCTTTTCTTTAGCAATGTATCGGTTTCACGTAGTACTTGCTTGTGCCGTACGAATAACCTCAAGGTCAGGAGGATTATAAGTGGATCCCACTGCTTGAATTACTGACATTCTGGTTGTGGCTTTGAAGGTGTGGCAGGAGTTTCAAAAGAGATAAAGATGGGAAGATGGAAAGTGGGGTTCCTTGGTTCTTTTTTTGTTAACAGATTGGTAAACAAAGTAATCTGATGACAGTCTTATTTAAGCACTGTTCTTAAGACTGTGCAAAGTTGAGCCACTGAGCACTTGTACATATTAGGAAAGGTTAGTGTCGTTGCTCTGATAATAAGCTCAGTTCAAGTTACAACCATTGTAATAAAACCTCCCTATTAACTTGCTAAATCCATCATCGGGAATCAGACAATTATAGGGCTTGGCACTTGTGCAAGAGAGTAGATGAGATTAAGCCAAGATATTGAGTGACTAGTGGTGATCCAGAAATGAATTTACGCGCACAAGCAGTATCAAGATGAGACTACACTCATATTTCCACGAACACATCATAGCTAGCAGTCATAATTGATTCCTCAACACTCAATAGACTATCGTGAGTCAGGAAAAAGAAGTTAGAGGGATATCAGAGATCTAAATCAAATCCTGTAAAGTGAGTCAAATGGGAGGAAAGTAGTGTAATAGCCGGCTATAAACTAGAAGGCTTGCAGAGAAGGGGAAAAAAAAGTTATGATATTGAAGATATCAGAAAGGCCTTCAGTACAAATTACTAAGCGGTACAGGCCAAAACTGAAAACCCAGAAAGAATGCCAACTTACCAAATACAATTTGAAGCCTATTTGATACCCAAAAAGAAGCTATAGTCAAAGTCAGAATCTCAGTGTCCTTGTCTTTCTTGAAAACCATCGGATCCCAATCTCTCAACCTGCGATTGAAGAGATAAGATATCCGCCTCTAATCCAGCAAGAAGCGTCTTATGTTTATCAAATTCCTTGAAGGACAATTAGTAACTGGGTGCAGATGAAGGAGAGGATAGAAAAAATAGGAAAATGCTCAGTGGTGAAGAAGAAGGAAGGGTTAGGATATAGCCAGAGGGTATTCTGGCAGGAGCTTGAGAATAAATTATATGAAGACTTTTTGGAGAGAAGAAAGACAGGATGAACAGTCAGGCAAGGATGGTTTCGAATACAATCACAGATACAATTATATGCTCTGTACTTGAATGTGAATCCAACAATCTTTTACTTCAGTAATAGTTAGTTTCAGGAGTTCCTAGCTCAGCATAAGATCAGTCTTCGAAGTATCACCAAAAAAGCGCAACAGGTTCCTGATGGCTATAAGCTACTAGTTATAAACTAGTTACGGTTTAATCGACGCAACTTGCAATTCCAGGCACACGACTTTTGGGAAATCGCAATCGCACATCCCATCAGCTGATATGAGCCTACCAACATCTGCAACCAAGACGAAATGCCTATTCCTTTCAAATATCTTGAAGGAAAGACTTACAATTTGGCTGGGGAGAAGACAATTTGGGTTAAGAAGTCGAAGTCAGGTTGGAATAAGCGACAAGCAAGTTTAGTTCTCTGCATTTTTGCAGATGGCATTCCTCATATCCTACCTATGGTTATCTGCCATGGGAAAGATCTCCGGCTAGGGAGGGAGAGAGAAAAATATGACTCCCATTATGCCGAATGGCTTGCTCTGCAACCAGACCTTCCTCCAAAAAGTCCTGGTTATCCAAGCCTTACTCCTCCATAAGACAAAAGGTATATAATGTAATACATCCATATAGCCAGATGTGTACGAACTTGAGATCGACTGCGGTGTGAATTCTGGTACGAAGTTCCTATAGAGACTGAAAGCAACCTTTGAGTAATCCAATTGTATGCTCACTAGCAACCTAGATATGTGAAAGTTGGTAATTGAAAGATCAATTCTCAGCAATATCCTTATCTGGCTTTTTGTAAGGAATCACGAGCCACTCCTGCATTGGATAACCAGCATCACCCCAAGCCCAACAGCCTTCTCCTAATAAAGAACTATGTTCCTTATAGAGACGTGTTTCTTTCCAACAGTAAGAATCTGCACGGCTTCCAACAAATCCAACTGCATAATCTATTATCCTTCTGTCTGGTGTATTCACGGTTTGTATGTTAAGTGAATAGTTTGACTTTCGATCAAAGAAAGACTCCCCATAGTAAGCAGTCTTTATATATAGTGGAATCAATGATGGTCCATCCATTTCTCCACTCCGGAATTGCAATTTCCTCAATTCTCTCTTTGTATAAACTCTTTTCCTCCTCAGTTGGCCAAGAAATATACTTTTCCTGGAGCCCACATGATAGAATAGCATATAATATTCTCTTGGTACAAAGCACTACAGTGCCTTCTCATATTCCAGCCCACAATCCTACCTGTCTGATCGACGCACCATTACCGTACGCTCCAAAACGATAGACAGCAATCAACAGCTGACGCTCAACACTAATTTGCTGTTCATGATTGGATGATTGGTTGGTAAAAATCGGAGAGGAAGAAATAATAGATACAAGTTTGTTGAAGGTCCTGGGAAACATGCGGGCAAATGTACGAAAGCGACGAGCAAGCTTAGGCCTATTGGAGTCTCGGTAAACATTCAGGCAAAGGTCAATTTCTCCGGTAATCTTTGGAATAAGGCTTCGTGTTTGCAAATAGCGTCGTGATAAAATCTTCTCCAACAATAAAAGAAGAATATGAGAATTTCGAACTCGTGGCGTAAGATCAGGTCAATATTGTTCAATAACTCGAAAAAGCACTACTATGATAAGTAGCTCTTTGACAATTCGTTCACGATAGGATGTGGAAGGCATTTTCAATTGCTCAACTTATGTCAAGAATAGATCCTAGTTTTCTTATTAAATGATCTGTGCCTTTATTCGTCATGAGGAAATTATCCTACACTAGAAAAATTTTCATCACTAGTAACTAGCGACCATTCCTCTTTCTTTGCAAGCCAAGAGTGTTCTGCCACCTCTGAACCACCAAACCATCCCGAGTACCACCACCAGAGCTGGTACAAGGGTAGGAACCTATTAACCGTAACAGACAAGGATGTATTTGGCTGGTTAACCGCAAATAACTGATCCAAAACTTCTTGCCAGACCTTGTACTAGTACCGCAGTTCATTTTTCTAGTTCATGGTTCATGAACCAAGAACTGCGTTGTTGAACCGTGGTGAACCATCGGTGTGAAACCCCCTATTATGATGATACCGATGCGATGCCAGACGGTAGTCTGCGCAGTTCAGGTCTCTGTGAGTCTACTCGAGTGCTGTAGTCTACGCGAGCATCCACGCACAGCAACCACCGGTACTGTGCAAGCACTGTACTGGTTCTGTACTGTACTGTACCATATTCTTGAGGATTATTAGTAATTTCCATGACTGTTTCTGAAGTGCAGAAAAAAGATGCACATCGGTCATGCATACTCTGCACCTGCGAGAAGACCAGCTGAATGCATGATGGTCAAACAATACCAAATAGACTACTGCTTGCGCGGTACAATACAGTACCACAGCAACACACACTGTAATCTATCTGTTCTCCTTCATACAGCTTGATCGCCCAAACCATCATAGTTCGATATTCACGGTTTTGCCACCACCATAGAGAGTGCGATAGCAGGACTTCAAAACATTAGGAGTCAACGACATTTACTGCACAGGAAGGTACAATACTCGGGTACTTGGTACCGGCACAGCATTGGTTCGTTGTTGGCTAACTTAGCTAGATCTTTGCCCCTCCCCCACGCCCAACACAGTCAAGCACGGTAAACCCCCCCCCCTGTTTGAGTGATTCATTCCCCGATATTATTGTATTCAACTGAGTGGCTAACCTTTCGATTCTTAATTCACCCTCGCTCATCCCCTCATCCCCTCTCAACAATCCATTCCTGATCCTTTTTTCTCTTTTTTGGACGAGCACGGTACCTTGCTGTACTCGAGCACCCCTACCCTAGAGCACCTCAGTGGCAGCTTCAAACCCGGCTCATCCTCACCCAAACCTTATCCTGGCCTTAGGAGCGCTCAAGATATCCCTCCAACGAGGCCGGCTTTCGAAAGAAGCCACAACCTTGCATGCGTCATTCCTAAAACCTTATCGCGATTATCGGCCCTTCCTACCGTCATCCTCCCACAGCACTCGTACCCGAAGGCTCGCGCCCTTCAGCCTCATCCCACCACCCAGGGCCAGTCTCGGAGCCTTATATAACTCCCGATTCCCCCCACCAGTGTCCTCCATTTCCGCATCGTCTTTCCCCGGATCCTCCCCGTCCATTCCCCATCTTCCTCGCCAAGATCCCACCCCTCAAACGCCTTCAGACATGAAGGAATTGCCCATTCGTTCCGGCGGTGCAACCGTTCTCGCTGACAAGCTCGAACAACCAGACCTCGACAACCGATCTTACAGAGTGATTCAACTTTCGAATAAACTTGAGGCTTTGATTGCGCATGATCCGGACACGGATAAGGCCAGTGCTGCTTTGGATGTGCACGTGGGAAATTTCTCGGATAGGGATGACTTGCCGGTAAATTCACCCCCACCTCTCCCTATTAATTGTTGACTTACGCCCCGCTACCGTGCCCTTTTGGGTGCCCTCCTCTATGCAGCTCTCCCCACCCACCCCAGGCCTGGTGGGTACCGGCAGGAGGTGGTGGGTGAGCATGAAGGAAAGCTAAAGCTGGACCCCAAGATCGGTTTCCTCGATGGAGATTGATGGAAATAGCGTTCTAATGTTTGTGTTGATTACAACAGGGTCAGGCACATGCCGTAGAGCATCTCTTGTTTATGGGAACTGAGAAGGTATACCGGATATTGGCCGGGGTCCCTAATGCTCAGTTACATTTCCCTATTCAGCTAACGATTTGTGTCACTTGTTCCCGCTAGTATCCCAAAGAGAATGAATACTCACGTTATCTCTCTGAGAATTCTGGTCAATCCAATGCATACACGGCTTCAACCTCTACCAACTTCTATTTTGAAGTGGGCCACCAGGCATTGTACGGTGCTCTGGATCGCTTCGCACAATTCTTCATCTGCCCGCTCTTTCTCGCGGAGACTTTGGATCGCGAGCTCCGAGCTGTGGATTCGGAAAACAAAAAGAATCTTCAAAATGATATCTGGAGGATCCACCAGCTTTCAAAGTCCTTGTCTAACCCTAGCCATCCTTACTGCCATTTCTCCACCGGAAACTTGGAGACTTTGAAAGAAGAGCCCGCTAAGAGGGGCGTAAACGTCCGGGATGAGTTTTTGAAGTTTCATGACAAGTATTATTCCGCCAACCTCATGAAGCTTGTAGTCCTAGGCCGTGAAGACCTGGATACCTTGGAGAAGTGGGTTATCGAACTCTTTGAAGGTGTCAAGAATAAATGCCTACCTGACCCGAGATTTGAAGGCCAGCCATTTACCGATAAGGAACTCTTGGTTTGTTCCCTTACGGTTGCCACCTTACATCATGTTGACCCGTAGCACAGACGCAAATATTTGCAAAGCCAGTTATGGATACTAGGTCATTGGATATTACCTTCACATACCCAGATGAAGAAAAACTTTTCGAGTATAAACCTTCGCGCTATTGCTCCCACCTTATTGGGCATGAAGGTCCTGGGTCCATATTAGCCCTCCTCAAAAAGAAAGGCTGGGTAGACTCCCTGGCCGCTGGCCCGGAGCCCACTTGCGATGATGTCTCGTTTTTTAAGATTTCCACAAAGCTGACAGAGGATGGGCTTGGTAAGCGCCAAATTTGCTCTTTGCCACGGATATCCTCAGCTAATGCTTCACGAAGAAAATTATGAGGAAGTAATGAAGATTATCTTCGAATACATTCACCTCATCCGTAGCACACCCCCACAGGAATGGATTATGAGGGAGATGCAAGCTGTTGCAGCCGTAGACTTCAAATTCCGTCAGAAGAGCCTGGCATCCAAGTTCACTTCCCGCTTTTCATCTATCATGCAAAAGCCACTTCCTAGGGAATGGCTACTCTCCGGTACTGCTCTTATCCGGGGATTTGACGCTTCCCTCATTTCAAAGTCCCTGGAGTACCTTAACCCAAATAATTTTAGATGCACAGTTGTCGCCAGAGAATGCCCTAGGGGTGATTGGGAAGCGAAAGAGCGATGGTACGGGACGGAATACCGTGTTGAAAAGATCCCCGAGAAGCTCCTCTTAGAAATACGAGAAATATTTGATAATTCTAGAGAAATATCCGGGGAGCTTCATCTTCCGCAAAAGAATGAATTTATTCCCACCAATTTTGAGGTCCAGCGTAAAGAGGTTCAGACGCCGCAGAAGGTCCCCGTTGTGATCAGGAATACAGAAATATCCAGGATATGGTACAAGAAGGATGACACCTTCTGGGTCCCGAAGGCAAACCTCAACTGCACACTCAGAAAGTTCGTATCGCTCTACCCTCACCAAAAGTATGATTGCTAACTAAACAATAGCCCTTTGGCATATTCCACTCCCGGAAATACTGTGCGTACAGCCCTCTACTGTCGACTTGTAAAAGACGCCCTTAATGAGTATGCCTATGATGCGGAAATCGCTGGTCTGGATTACAATTTATGGGGGCATTCTCTCGGTCTGGACGTCGAAATTTCCGGATACAATGACAAAATGCCATTACTATTGGAAAAGCTACTTTTGAAGATGCGTGATCTGGAGATAGCTCCCGATCGCTTCAAGGTGATCAAGGATAGGATGGCGAGGGAGCACCGCAATTGGGACTTCACTCTGCCATACAATCAAGTTGGAGAATTTGCAAGGTACTTGCTTTCCCCGCATATGTGGCTGAACGATGATATTCGTGATGAATTGAGCAACACTACCTTGGAAGATGTGAAGAGCTTCTTCCCACAAATAGTGAAGCAATTTCACCTCGAAGCGTTAGCCCACGGAAACCTTTACAGAGAGGTTTGTGTCGTTCGCATTCGTACCGCAGAGGGTTTCTGATTTTAAGATAGGATGCCTTGCGACTCACTTCTTTGGTCGAAACGATCCTCAGACCTCGTGTCTTGCCTCACAGCCAATTCACAGTCAGGCGATCTCTGATAATGCCGGCCGGTGGTAAATTCATTTATCCTCGCCCGCTAAGGGATGAGGAAAACATCAATCATTGCATTGAATTTAGTTTATACATTGGAGAACACACTGATAGGGCACTGAGGGCAAAGAGTATCTTGTTCTCTCAATTGACTGAAGAGTACGATCTTAACCTACGAAAATGTTATAATGTTACTTTGTTAACCCATTTCCAGACCAGCCTTCAATCAGTTAAGGACAAAGGAACAATTGGGATACGTTGTATTCTCTGGGGCCCGCATGAATTCTACTACCATCGTCTACCGATTTCTCATTCAATCCGAGCGCACTGGGCCTTACCTAGAGTCAAGAATCGATAAATTCCTCGCTGATTACAAGGACACTCTGGAGACAATGAGCGAAAAGGATTTCAGAGGGCACATCAACAGTCTTATTGTGAAGCGAACCGAGAGGTTGAAAAATCTCCATCAGGAGAGCAAGAGATTGTGGGGGTATATCGGCAGTGAGCTGTACGATTTCTCACAGAGTTAGTAATTCTACGCTTTAGCAATTGCGCCCCACACCTGCTAATTAGTTGCTCCCCACAGTCGATATTGAGGTGGACATAATCCACAACATCACAAAAGCTGAAATGTTGGATTTCTACAACAAATTCATCGACCCGGCATCCCCCACGCGAAGCAAGGCATCGGTCCATATGCATGCGGCTGCGGTTGCAAGGGCCCCTAAACCTGGCGATAAAGACACTATCGTTGGGGAGATATGCAAGTATATCTCAACCCATTCCGGTACCGAGACGGATCCAGCGGTGATCTCAAAGGCTCTCTCGGCCGTCGACTTCACCGAACCGAAGTCCGCAATGAGCGGATTTCTTCAATGTCTCACCCAGGACCTCAAAATATCACCCGAGACAGCGCAGTACATTGCCCAGGAGGGTGCCGCAATGCTGGCCACGCTCCTACCTAGCCTCGCGGGGGCTAACCCTCTACCGCGGGAGGATGAGGGGGAAATTGGCGACCAGGGCGAGGTCATCGAAGACATCTGTGCATTCAAGGCTAGACTACAATTGACGAAGGGGGCTATGCCGGTTAGGCCGTTGATAGAGTTTGAGGAGTCTTCTGTAAAGCTATAGACCCGAAAAATCCTTTTTGTGCTTGGAACGCCCAGGATCAAAAGGAATAGGGGAGATAAAGAGTTAGTTTACTCTAACTTTCGATTCCTGTTTTTTGTCCTTATTTAGTTTTTGTAACGGCACTCAGTAGGGCACGGGATGGAATGTGATGAAGTCTGAACGCTTTCATGAACGCGCAAGCAATATTTTTCCCACGAGTGAGTTTGACCTGCGCACGTTGCGGTCTCGGTGAGAGGGTCAAACTGACAATGCAGACCACGATACGTATGTATTGTATTATCTGTATAGTAGGCCGTGTGACCAGCTGTACTCTTATTCGTGCCCCGGGGACTTGTTCGCTTCCAGGCGGTGGGTAAGATGCCGGGGTTTGTTAAGCTACAGTTCTCGTTTCGAAGCGCCATACCCATCACGTGGGATCACTCGATTGACACATTTGACAGTGGTGTATCGCACTAATGCGTGATGTCCTCTTTGTTTGGCGGGCCGGGCTAGGTGGTGCGCGCACGAGTAGCGTGGCATGGCATGGCATGGCATGGCATGGCGCTATCGTAGTATGAGTACGGCATCGCAGCTGAGGAAGTGGCTGACTTATGATGCTTGGAGTGTAATTTAATACGTCACGCGCGCCCATCCTAGATTTAGTTGACAGTAAATTTATTCTGTGATGCTAAGGTACGAGTATTTGAGTACAATGCAAGTGCTTGGGAACCTGTACAAAATATGCTACGATAGTGGAATATAGCACATCCAGTCTCATTCACTTTTCCAAAAATAAAAAAAACAGGCAAAACTCCCTTGGCCATCCCACCCTACCTAACCCCAACAACCACCAAATTCCTCGGACTAATCCCATACTCAAACCCAGCTTCCACCCACGCCTCCTTCACCAAGCCCTTTTCCACCCCTTCCATGAGGTACACCCACCGATCGACAACAATCAGGCTCTCCGCGACGCCAGCGCAGAAGGCCATCAAGCTCCAAATAACGCTGATGTCCTTCTTCCTGCACGTAAACCTCTCTTCGTACTGGGCCACCTCTCCCGCGCTGACCTGCAGCCTCTGGGCCCAGCCAATTTTATCGATCGCCCCAGAGACGTAGTCGCCAAAGGACGAGTAGCACCTCTTCCTCAGCGAGCCGATAATCACTGGCTCAGCGCCGGTGACGAGCCCACGGTCGAAGAATATGCGCTGTAAGAGGGCGCGGAAGAAGTGTCTTGTGAAGAAGGCTTCGCTACTGGAGGGGGTCCAGTTGCTGGGCGCTTGGCAGGCCATCATTCGGGCTGTTATGTTTAGGCGGACCGCTGGGTTCGTGTGGGTGAATCTGTGGCTTAGGGGGAACCCGTCCGGGTCTGCCGCTGCGGAAGTCGCGGCTAGGCGTGGGTGCGGTGAGCGTAGAGGAGGTTTGTACGTTGCGCCGGATTTTTCAGTGAGAAGGTTGTAGCAGCAGCCGATTAGGGCGCAGGCTTTCACCGATGGGGTGGTGGCGAAGGAGATGAGGCCGTGGTGGAGGAGGTTCCCGCAGGAGTGGAGGGAGATTAGGAGGAGGGATTTGGGAGTTGGGGAGGGGATGAGGGTGGTTATTGGGGTGAGATCACTTCCAGAGATGCACTTTTGGATGTATTGTAGGGTGCCACTTTTTCCATCGTTGGTTGTAGTTGGCACTGTTTCTTCTGCGGCGGGGTCGTCATTTGGCACTCGGGATGTGGGCTCCCGGCTTTGCTGACTTTTTCGTCCCTTCCGCTCACGCCTCTCGGCGAGGCTATCGAAGCGGGTATCCATTTCTTTTGCCCCCTCGATATTTGCCGGTCGGGATTCTATGCCTACAACGTTATGTCCATACTTCTTCGCCAGCGTCCGACTTAGGTATGCCTGTCCGGAGCCAAAGTCCAAGATATGCGTGATGCCTTCCCCGCCGATAGGCTTGTCGCGAGCGTTGATGTTAGAGACCAAATCGTCGATGAACGCAGAGAAGTTCTCTACCTTTTTTTACCGGAAAGATTATACATGAGTACAGTACTATCCGATGGGTCAAGTTGCATATTTATGTGCGATTCGTACCTCGTGGATCTTCTTCGGCCGCATGCCAGCGTTCAACGCCCATTCCTCGCCGCTGTGGGATACCCCGGCTGATGTTTTGGCTTTCGCTAGGGCGGGCGGTCGGGTGAAATCTCGGTTGAGCGAGTGGATACGGACTTGTGTTATGAAGGTAACTAAGGTCTCTGGACATGTTTTTGGGAGTTGGTCTATTGGTGTGCGGAGTAGGTGGTCTAGCACCGAAGGTATTTCCTGCACCGAGAAGAATGATATCCAGTCTGCCGGTAGGATTTCATGGTAGAGGTCCACAGGCTTTGTGCCAGAGTCTCGAGTGAAGAAGTCGAGGATGTGTACACCACCGCAGAGGGTTTGGAAAAGCGGGTTAGAGGTGAAGGTTAATAGAGAGGTAATGTACTCCTCTGGAGAGGTAAATTGAGGGCTATATGGAAGGAGCGGGGTGGGTGGCATTCTGGTGACCTTGGGTTGTTCGTTTCTCCTGCTGCTCGTACATGTTATTTTCCTCCCGTAGCGATGATTTGTTTAAGGTGGGATTCATCTGTACGAGTATGGTAGTCTTTTCTACCGTAGTCAACACATATCATAACATCTGGTCTTGGCGCCAGGGCATGGCTTGGCACCTGCCCTACTCGAGTAAGCTCCTCGACGAGTCCCGAAGCCTCAACATTCCCTCTGCCCTTCGACACCAACACCGGCGATCAGGTCAACCCAACCAACGCCGAGAGCCCTACCTCCTTTCGCCATCACTTGAACCATGTCGACGATCACTAGTACGGCTCTCCAGAGCTCACAGGCGTATGTTTCTCCCTCCTTCTCCTCCCCTCAATCCACACCCTCCCATCCTGCTGCTCCCCACACGTCCCACGATGGAAAACCACAAAACTTACACTCAGGACGAGCGATTCGACCGATTTTTTAGCCCAATCCTGCCGGCTTCCTTCTCCGCCAACCAGCCAAAGACCATCCGTCTCTACCCGTTATCTAATTATACTTTTGGTACTAAGGAGAACCAACCGGAAGAAGACCCCTCTGTCCTTGCCCGTCTGCAACGCCTACAAGAACACTACGAGCAGTATGGTATGCGACGCACCTGTGAAGGTATCCTCGTTTGCCACGAGCACTGTCATCCGCACATCCTCATGCTTCAAATTGCCAATGCCTTCTTCAAGTTGTATGTTTACATTTCCACTTGGTCCCCGCTGCCATTCTTGCTGCTGACGGGGAGTATGTGATTATTAGGCCAGGCGATTACCTCCACCATCACGAGAGCGAGCTGGAAGGGTTTAAGTCTCGTCTGAACGAACGCCTTGCTCCGGTCGGCAGCCAATTTTCCGGCGAGGGTGTTAATGATGAATGGGAGATTGGTGATACTCTCGCCCAGTGGTGGAGGCCAAACTTTGAGACATTCATGTACCCTTTTATCCCGGCGCATGTCACCAGGCCCAAAGAGTGCAAGAAGCTATATTTTATCCAGCTTCCCAGAAGCAGTTCCGTCTCACCCTTCCATCTTTTAGAATACCTTGCTGACAATGCGATGATGCATGGGGTAATAGAAGTACTATCGGTTCCGAAAAACATGAAATTACTGGCTGTACCACTGTTCGAGTTGTACGATAATACCGCGCGTTACGGACCCCAGCTTTCTGCAATCCCCCACCTACTTAGCAGATACAACTTTGAGTTCGTTGATGAGAACGGAAAGGTTATTGCGGTCACCCCCGGTGGTGGTCCCGACGGGGAGCCGCAAACAAAGGTCCTTGCGGGGGGGGAGGAGAATGGGGATATCAAAACCGAATAGAATAAGTTAATTGGTGGGGTTCACTAGTGAGCAGATACAACTGTAGTCTCTAGTTTTTTTAACTCTTTGTCTCTGGGCCCTTTCAACGTGTATCGACTGGTTTTTTCCTTTTTCTTTCCTTTTTCTTTTACCTTGGTATTTCTTTTTCGATGAGATTGTGACTTGTATTTTTAATGAGGTAAAATGACAATCTATACGGGCTTACATGGCTTCTTATATCTTGGGCACCGCCCCAAGTGTTGTACATTTCTACTCAATCTAAACAAAAGTAATCTATTCATACATCCTGTTGCCATTATTGTTATTACTGATATGAGAAAACACCGTGAAAAAACTTTCTGCTCGCCACCGTGAAAACAATCCATTACGCCGTGCCAGTAATCCTAGGGAACACCTTATTACAAGATAACAACCAAGAAGAGAAGGAATATCAGAACCACAATGAGAATCGCGATGCAGCAACTGCTAGCAGTATCTATATCCAACGTCAGCTCCTAAAACCTCCATCCCGCTGGGGGAAGGGGAACAAGCCTTCATTCTTCCTTATAAAAGTGTTCAAATCCCTAACTCCCTTCTTAAGCTTATGCTCCACCCGATCCACATCCCCATCCAGCGCACCGAGCACTCCAGTCTGCTCCTCCAACTCCCTGTTCATAACATTCGCCTGCTCCCTCAGGTTGACCACGGTCCTCGAAACCCCCTCCAGCATCTCATCCTGGTCATGGATGATTTCCTGCTGATATTGCATCTCGTAGCCACTCCACCCACCACCCTCTTCATCTCCCCCGTCATCCATGACTCCCGTCGCTGTAGCTCCCGCATTCTGCCGCGAGGGCAAAGATGACGTGGCATTTATTTCTTCCCGCATATCGCCAACTTCGCCTTCTACCTCATCCACGAAACGTCGTCGGCGGACGACCTCTGGAATGTCCAGGCCGAATTTGTACGGGTCCGCTTCCATCTGTCGGACGGTTGCATGAAGGTCACTGAGGTCCGTGCTTATTTCATCTAGCAGCGTTCTGAGTTCTGTTTGTGCGGAGAGGAGTTCCGGAGAGGGGGGTGCTATCGGAGTATGGAGGAGGGTGCGGATGCGAAGGTAGCTGCTGAAGGAGGTTCGGGCGGATTCAAGGAGGTTGGCGAGTTCGCTGGGGGGTTATTAGCAATGCGGAAGGGGAAAAGGCTAGGTAACTAGGGAGAGAAGCGGTACTTTTGAAACTGTATGAAAGGGTCCGTATCTGCTGTTGAGGACATCATGGTGGTGGGCTAACACAGTAACTGGAGTTCTGGAGCTCGGAGCTTTTGAAACTGGTGATTGATTTGGGGATCTTGGTATCAGAGTTGACGTTTCAAGAGATTAAATTGATTAGATGGATGCGATTAGATTGTGGCCACTGTCCGAAAATAGGGATCCGCAAAATAATACTATCATTTAGATACCTCTTATCTCCCACGAGTACTCATATGACTTGAATTAATTTCCGCAAGATCCGGGCCACCAATGCCTCAGCAACTGTTTGAATTCTTAGATATTTTGGATATTTGATATATTTTTAACGTATTGAGCTAAATCATTGATAGATATTATATTGTAGCGGTTTTAGGACCTTCCTTCAACCTTCGAACCCTAAAGGACCAATCGGAACTTTTGTTGAAAATTTTACTAAGGACCCAAATATACCTCGGTCAGCGCACAATCCAGAACGTCAAAGTTCGACATCTCGCTGCTCATTCCATTCCCGCATTGAGACCCCGCCATCAAAATCTCCAAAAGCCTCCCCCTCCTTCCCCCCCACTACCACCAACAAACCCACCACTCCCCCAAACCCAATGGCGGCTGCACGACTTGCACGCAGTGCCCTCACCTCGTCGCTGCGTAGGAACGTTATCGTTCCTCGAAAGTTCCCCGGCATCACTAGGTCGCTGGCATCCCCGGCGCCTGTCCTTATACCCGGAGTTACCACACAATCAACTACTCTTTCGAATGGATTGACGGTGAGAAATAACCTTGAATCTGAAGAGGTTTTTTTGGGTGGAATGACTGATTTTTTTCCTCCTCCACCTTCTAATTAGATCGCTACGGAGCATTCGCCATATGCTCAGACTGCGACTGTCGGAGTTTTCATCGATGCTGGGAGCAGGGCGGAGACTGATAAGACCAACGGAACTGCGCATTTCTTGGAACATCTTGCTTTTAAAGTATGAGATTACATCCTGTGTTCGGTGATATCCATGGATGGACCGCTAAAGGGTTTTTTTCTCTTCCTGTAGGGAACCAAGAGCCGAACCCAGGGTCAGTTAGAACTCGAGATTGAGGACATGGGTGGCCACTTGAATGCCTACACCTCAGTACGTTTTTATCAACCCTGGTGCACCATCTCCCATATTTCAGTTCTTAACGAGTAGTTATCAATATAGCGCGAGAACACAGTCTACTACGCTAAATCCCTTAAGAATGATGTCGGGAGGTCGGTAGAGATCCTCGCCGACATTCTCCAGAATTCCAAACTGGATGAATCGGCCATCGAGCGTGAGCGCGATGTAATTCTCCGTGAGCAGGAGGAGGTCGACAAACAACTTGAGGAGGTCGTCTTCGATCACCTTCACGCCACGGCATTCCAAGGTCAACCACTCGGTCGCACCATCCTCGGTCCCAAGGAAAACATCTTGACGATAAGTAAGGGGGACTTGATCGACTACATCTCTACCAACTACAAGGCTGACCGTATGGTCCTTACCGGTGCCGGCGGAATCCCTCATGAAACTCTTGTCGCACTTGCCGAAAAGCACTTTTCCGGCGTCAAGCCGAGTGAGAACCCTGTGACCCCGGGATCTGCACGTGGTCCGAAGCCCGAATTCATCGGATCGGAAGTCCGCTTGAGAGATGATACTATTCCTACCGCTCATATTGCCATTGCCGTCGAGGGAGTCAGCTGGAAGGACCCTCACTACTTCACTGCGTTGGTTGCTCAAGCTATCATTGGTAATTGGGACAGAGCCATGAGTAATGCCCCATACTTGGGCAGCAAGCTTTCTTCCTTCGTGCATAAACACCAATTGGCCAATTCATTCATGAGCTTCAGCACTTCATACTCTGACACTGGGTGATTTCACTCCCCATTCATCCCATTCCACTATGAATCGCTAACTCGCACACACAGACTCTGGGGGATCTACCTAGTCACCGACAAAGTTACTAGAATCGATGATCTTGTACACTTTGCCCTTCGCGAGTGGTCCCGCCTCGCTCTAACTGTGACAGAGTCTGAAGTCGAGCGTGCGAAAGCCCAACTCAAGGGGTCGCTCCTTCTCTCTCTCGACGGTACCACCGCCATCGCCGAGGACATTGGCCGTCAGATCATCACCACCGGCCGGAGAATGAACCCTGCCGAGGTCGAGAGGGTTGTTGGTCAAATCACCGAACAGGACGTTATTGACTTTGCTCAGCGCAAGATTTGGGATCAGGATATTGCTATTAGTGCGTTGGGTAGTATTGAAGGGGTATGTCTTTTTTTTTCTTTCCTTTTTACATTGTGTTTACGCTTGCGCTAAATTTTGCCTAGCTGTTGGATTACCAACGCGTTCGCAACGATACTAGCCGCAACTTTTAAGCCGCTGGCGGGGGCGACGGGGGGGTTGGGTTGGTAGATAGAATAGAGGTTTGTGTAGGTGGGGGAAATGATGGATGACCCGTGAAATCACCTAACGAAAAAAGAAAAAAAAAAGCAGCTGGGGTTCATTCGCCGATGTACAATACACCTACCCTTCTATATCCCCAGAATTTCTTTTTTCTTCCTTCAGCATTTGGTTTTTCGTCATACTTCCCTTTCTTTCTCTTTCGCTCAAACAAAATGGAAGGACAAACGTAACTTTAAGGTGTGAAATCAAAAAAGATAAAAATCAAAAAAGTTGCGAAAAGTGATCATCCCAATCAGTCAATCAATCCATCCATCCATTCATTCATCCATTCATCCATTCGCTGATGCACAATGGAGTAAGTGCCGAGCGATTGGTAACAAATAGGCAATTCTATATTGGTCCAAGACATACAAATATAATATATACAGAAACAAGGGGAAGGAAGGGAAAAGTGGGACTACAGCGGAGGTTCGGGTTATACAGCACCATTATAGTAAACCTTCCTAACATCCACCAATTTCTTTCCCCGACCGCGAGCGATAGTCTCGGGCAACTTCTGACTCCTGAGGGCTTGAATGGTAGCCTTACAGACATTCATCGGATTCCTGCTGCGACTAACTTTGGCCGAGAGGTCCGATAATCCCAGACACTTAGCTATCTCAAATATGTACTGGGAAGTGCGCAATCCGAATCCTGAGCCATCCACTCAACTCGCATCAGTTCCCACCCACAACACCAACGAAACGAGGGAAAGAAAGAAAGAGGAAACCAACCCGGCGGTCGACTAAAAAGCTTCAACTCCACCGCCCCAACCTTAATATCCAGATTCCCGAAGATGGTACGATCCTCATACCTAGGCACGGGCATCATATTCCGAATAGCCATGTATGTAGCCATGCGCTGAGCCTCGGAATGCTCGACGCTCTTCCCTTCGCCAATGCCGACAAGGCCGTTACCATTCCCGGCCACGGAGAGACAGTATATCTTGCGGATCTTGCCCATGCGCGTCTGATTCACGACGCTGTGGGAGACGAGGATCTTCGTCCTTAGCCGCCTAATCTCGGCGACGGAGAAGCCGGTCTTGAGCGAGACCTCGCGCATCCAGGGTGGGTCACTCGTGGCGGAGCTGGCAGTGGCGGTTGAGGAAGAGGCCGAGAGCGTGAGCAGGTGATCGAGTCTCGGGAGTGGTTGGAGGGGGTGACCGGGCGTGTAGATTTGCGGGCCCCAGGGGGAGTCCAGGATTGGGTCGAGGGTGGAGAGGTCGTCAAAGTATTGTAGCTTCATGGGGTCGTGGTCCGGTTGTCGGCGGCGGTTGTGGAAATGCGCGGGGTCGATGGCGGACTCCCCCTCTAGGAGGGAGGCTACTTGGTCGTTTGTGTAGTATTTCGACAGCTTGGATATTTCGCCAGAAGTGTAGGGGGTTGGTGGAGGTGTTGTGTAGGATTCCGGTTCGGCTTTCAGCCTGCGCCGGTTACGGTAGGGGTTTGGTGGTGTTGTGGTCAATTGGCGGGCCCCCCGGGGGGGCATTTGGAGGAGGCGACGTAGGGGGCGGACCGCGTTCATTTTGGTATGGTAGTGGCGATGGTGGGGGGGGGAGATGTTTGGCGGGGTGGATTGAGGTCAAGTTTTTGGCTAGAATGATAGTCGGGTGTTCGCTCGCGGTGGTTAGGGTTGTAGGGTAACCCCAAGTTCTCTATTGTAGCAGGCGGTCAGGTTTTCATTTTTCCTCTATTGACAACGATAAATCGCCAGGCAAATTATAATTATATTACAAGTGCTGCAATTATTGCAGGTACCGTACTGGGATAGTACATCCGAAGAAAATCGCATAATGATCGTCAAGCCCAAAGCCAGAGAATGTAATTCTACATAAGCCAACCCGAAAAACCATGAGGGATGAAGAGAAACCTTTTTCCCAAACGCCCTGCAATGGATTCCGTATACCGGGAGAAGAGCCGCCGGACACCGAAAATTTAAAGAAGGTTTATATAAAGAGAGAGAGAGAGAGAGAGAGAGAGAGAGAGAGAGGAGCTGCAGGGTATTCTACGAGTGGACAAGTGGAACACCGTCCAAAAGTTTTAACGAGAGAACCTCCCACGTTTACTAGGGTTCCCGCGATTAATATTGTCAGTATAGCGCTTGCGCTGCATGCCCAGCTCTGGACAGGCAGCGCGGACATGGCCAGGTTTCCCACACTCGAAACACTTCCCGCCTCCGCCGACAGGACCCGAAGTAGATGGGGGGCCACTACCGGAGATAGAGTGCAGTTTCTTTAATATTTTTTCATCACTGTCCCTCTTTCTGGCCTTGGCCTTCTTCTCCTGCCTGTCCGTGGAAGAGTCGCTGTCAGAGTCGTCACTGGAAGAGGAGGAAGAAGAGTCGTCAGAAATTTCTTGATCTGGCTTTTTGGGAGTATCCTGTTGTATATCGCCGTTAGCCCATTTCCACCCCATCTATCCGTACCCCCACGGCGCAGGAAGGAAAGAAGGAGAACAAACCTCAACCTTAACCCCATACTTCCCGAACTTCATCCTTCCACCAGTCCCCTTCTCCTCCTCTTTCTCATCATCATCACCGCCATACCCCCCCTCACCAACCAAGTCCCCATACCCAACTGTGACAACCCTAACCGACGCCTGAGGGGCCTTTCGGATAATGCTCAGCTCCCACCGAGTTTCCGCGTCTTCGCGAGTACTTGCTCCCGAGCGATCTCTAGTAGCCAGGAGCGCGGCCTCGCGCTTCGCGTTCTCCTCTTCAATCGCTCTTTGAACCTCCGCGTGGGATTTACTTCCTGGCACGGAGGCGTTTCTCTGCATGAACTAGATTGAAAAGCACCAGAGGTTAGCTAGAAAGAGGGATTTTTTGAAGGGGGTTGGTTGATCTGGTACATTCATGGTGAGTAGTCTTGACGACATTGGTTTTGCCTTGACGATCGGCCGCGGGGCGGGCCCGCCTTTGGGGGCTTTGGATACCATTTTTGGCGGCTGCGGTGTTGTTGCTGTGGTGTATACGAGTAGTCGGGATGGTGATGGTGGGTTTTGGCAGAAGGCCAGGAAGGTTAAAAGGCGAAGGCGAGTTGAAAGGTGTTTGATTACGTAAGTTGTCTTGATTTTGCAACCGGGATGCTCCCGCGGTGATGGGTTAGAGCTGGAATACGAGTACAATGTACAGTACATGTTGTGAGATACATGTTGTGAGATAGAAGGGCTAGTTGGAATAAATGATAGCTTAATACTAATATGGTCGCGATTTCTAGATTCTGTACTGTATAACCATATTGATTTGCCTGATGGGAGAAGGTGAAATTTCTGGGCCATTGCCATTATTGGAAAACAGGTCCAAATGCTACCAGTAGCTTGCAGCTGAAAGCTCTCTAGCTTTCTGAAGAACAGTTTTCTCCTATCATAATTATGTAGCACCGTACCCGCGAGACTTTTCCTCTAGATTACCGGAACCGCCTGCGTGGCATTCTCGGTTTCCTGTCTCTGTGATTTGCATCTAGTACTTGGGTAGACGAAGTTCGGCACATTACCAATGCACCTTCTGTCGGAAAACTGCTACGTTATTAATTCGATCTCACTACATCTTCTGGCACTCGCTCCCTTTGAGGTTTGTAACACTGTACGAGTGCAGTACTTGTGCCAGTGACCTATTTGGCACTGGCCACCATGGCTAGCAAAGATTGGTTCCCATCCTGACAAGACTCGAACGATCACGTGTTTGTAGGTGTTTGGTGGGAACACTCAATTCGTCCATCGACTGCTGGCTCCGGGAGCGGAACGTTGGTTCAAGTTAGGTAGGGGTTTTGGGGAGGCACTTTTGGAAGGTGTCATGGACAGGCCCACTCAGATTCGGTCTCCGATACGGCATCGTGAGCAGCTGCTCGCTCCAAACAAGCTCGCCGCCACTGTAGGTAATGATCGCGGGTGGGGGTATTCCGCCACACTGGTCACTCGCCAAACCTCAACCTGGCCAGCTTGAAGCGGAGCCATCACATAGAGGTTGCCATTCCATGACCCACCTGATCTTTGCTCACAGGCAAGATACTTCCTGTGGGCTGGAAAGAAAACCTCGATACCAGTAGCGGTACCCCACGATCCGAACATCTCCAAACCTCCTCATATCCAACCCGCTGTCCAGCGCTCGCCCATAGGATTAACTTTGATACCATTCGCAGATCTGCTCTGGACTATCGAGAGTGACGCCCGGAGAAGCCCGGGTGGGGGCGGTTGCGTAGGAGCCAGTGAACTCGCCACAATACAAATACTCGGGGTGGGGGTGAAGTATTGGGACAAGCAGGGGGGCTTGATGTCTCTGTGAATTACTTGAAGTGGGATTGAAGATACTAATTTGAGTAATTTGCACAGACATAGAACCCCCCTGCTCGTCCCAATACTTTCCCCCTACCCCTAGTACGGCACCGGTCTGATACCAGGAATTTTTTTGTACGGGGCGCTCATCCCTACCGTAACCCTTCTCCTATCGTAGAGGCACAGTACTCGAGTACAGTACCATGTTCCTCGACAGAAGCGGAGCGCCACCCCCTTGCTGAGTTGTCAGTTGTCTCGGGGTGGGCACATGACCCACAGAGCTGCTACAAAAATGAGCTACCTCCAGCAGACGTCGGAAAAGCTGAGGAAAAAGTCACTCCTCGGCAACAGAGCTAGCAATAACTTCCAGAAGCTCTCATTCCTCCCTCGTCTTGTCTTCTCTGCGGCGACTCTGCGTATACTCACAACATGGGCCAATCCCAGAGCACCCGCCGTCCCGAGCCAGGCGCAACCTACCGTGCAAAGGCAGCATCAGAAGCTCAAGCACAAATCGACGCGTCACGTAAAGCCAAAGCAGGTAGCTACCAACTCCCCCAACCTCCATACAAAAACCCCCCCAAACTAATAAGTCATTAGCATCTAGAAACTCCGACCACCGGAGCGCAAGGGCCCACTCCATTGAGGCGCAAATGCACGGGAAAAAAATGAATGAATACCACGCCCTAGCCAGCAGCGAGGTATTCCGATACCACAACCCAAAGTACCCCTCCACCGCCTTCTCGTTCTTCGGCGCTCTGTTCTCGCTCGTCAAGACCCCGCCGAATGATTTGTCGCAATTGGATTTGCATGGACAGCGCGTGGCTGAGGCTGTTCCGATGGTCAAGGACCATTTGAGGATGTGCCGGAAAGAAGGGATCAAGAGGACTCTGGTTATTACAGGGAGGGGCGTGCATAGCCTTGGGGGCGTTCCAAGGATTAAGCCGGAGGTTGAAAGGCTGTTGGCTGAAATGGGGGTTAGGTACTGGAGCAGGGCAGAGGGGGGGGCTTTTATGGTTGAGTGTGGAAGGGAGGAAGGTGGGGGGATTGTGGGGTGGATTTGGAGGGGGATATTTGGGTAGAGGAGTTTATAGCGGAGGGGAGACAGCCCCCCAGGCCACCTCCTCACCAGGACAACCAAACCCAAAAAAGAAACCTTTCTCCAGTGGTTCGCTTAGGTGAAATGCGTAGCAACCGCGCTGATCGCCGCTCGATTTCCCATATAAAACCCACCAATAAGTATCTGTCCGGGTGTCTTCGGATATTGTCTGTATCGATAATTGCGCGGGCGTACTACGGAAACGCATACGCAGCACCCGGTACGTACCGTACGCACATTCACCGTAACACTACCAAACACTACGAGTGACACGATGTGAAGACGTCTATAACTTATGATACAGCTCTCTTGAAACACTCAAGCCCCGCACCCACACCTCCGCCATGGTATGTATAGCGCCCCCCTACTAGCCGACCGCTATAAAAAGCCACCATCCCCTTTTCTTCCCGTTGTAATTCTTGTTTGAAGTTGTACTTCTTGCTCGATTGCGGTCTACTGGGCTCTATTTATCCTACAACGATACTACACAACGTAGTAGTAAAGAGAAGGGAAACTCGAGCGAGGAAACCAAACAAGTACTACAATAGAGTTGGCCAAGTAAACTCTACTGTAGTCAACTGTGTAATGATCAAAAGGGTACACATGTAGAAAAGGGAGTGTAGAAAAGACTCGATTGGAAACGGATATATGAGAAATTGGTTAAAGAAGAACCCAAGCGACACAAGAAATTTGGATGATTTGGGGGGACCATTGAGATAACGAGACATTCTAAGCAAACGATCCAAAGACTTGACATGTGCGCTAACCTGTCGATCCGCATATGGAGGGTTGTCTGCTGGGCTTAGGGTTTAATTTCGTCAAGTTTGTTCCTCTTTGGTAGGAGGGCATCTATGATACAAGCAGTGGGTGGAGGGGGGTGTGTCGGGTCTAATCGTTGGATAATAAAACCGCCAGACATCCTTGGAAGGGGCACAGAGGGCTCGGGTGGCTCGGGGGGGAAAGGGTTATGTTGGTTGTAGACTTGTTATGTACATATCTGGGAATCGGATCGGTCTGCCCCTGCAGCAACTTTGTAATTCCCGTAGAGCTATTCCTGGTGGCCCACTGGAGCGGTGTTTGGGGGATTTTTGGTGTTAGCTGTGTCGAGATTGACGGTGTTCTGGTAGCATCCCCTCGACCCCCACGTGCCCACTCTCGGCAGCCCATAAGAACGGTGTTCAGCCGTGCAGGGTGTCAGTTGTGTTGGGATTGACGTCGTTCCGCTCCAGCAGTATTGCCACAATCCCGCCATGCCCATTCTCGGCAGCTAGTGAAAGCGGTGTTTGGCTGAATATGTTAGCTATGTTGGGATTGATGTCGCTCCGTTCTAGCAGCATCCTCACGACACCCTCGTGCCCGTACCTGGCAGCCCAGGCGATGGCTGTGTTACCATGGAAATCAGTTGCCTGCGCATCCCATTTATTGGCCTCCAACAAAGCAATTGTTATTTCCTCGCATCCGAGGAATGCGGCTCCGTGAAGCCCGGTAAATTTAAACCCACTAGGAGTGTCTTCACTGTTGAAAATGTTGAAAATGGCAGTTAAGTACCCGTAGCTGGAAACTACGGTCGTGTGCGTACCTCTCATATGAGGACGCGTAAGCAGTGAAAAGTTTTCACCTCCTTATTTCTTCTCTTTTCTTTCCTTCTTAAGAAGTCAACTAACTCTACTCCACACCTCTTGTATGAAACTCTCCTCACTCTTCTTTCTCTATTGTTCACACACATACAACACAAGGTTCCCTCATTACCATTAGAGCCAACTCTATCCACTGCGTAAAACCCACCTTTCAGTCATTACTGTTGCAACTACAACCGGTTTTATCCTGTCTGTCTTCCTCAATTTCCAACATTCACGATCGAAAGGCAGTTCCCAATAACCCATCCCGTACAATAACAGCATCTTCGAAGATATGTGTTTATCGTATCCATCGAGTACTTTCAATGCGAGCCTTTTCATACCGTCGGTCGTTTCCCGTCTCGCATGTTCACCCCAGTAACAAGACGCATAGTTCACAAAAGGGATGGTTGGCTGGGGAAAACGAAGAGAAGGCGAAGCGCCCTTGACGTGCCGGAAGTTGAGGTAGGTCAAACAGACCCCAGCAATCGTCGAGTGTGGCTTAAGGAACAAGTTGGGATTATGGGAGAGGTACTCCTGCAGAATGTAGTGAATAAGGCGGAAGGTAGATGAGGACTTTTCGACTGTGACAAGGCCCAGAGAGCATGCAAGAAGGGTTTGCAGAGCAGGAATATTCCGAATATTCAAGTCGATGGATCCTTCCTCTACCCCCAGTGCGTGGCATAACTCGTCGACATGTAATGGCCGCTCCGCATGTGACACCCACATTAGAACGTCCATGCCGAGCTTTGATCTACTTCTCTGCTGTGCCTTCACTCGTGATAGGGTTGCGGCGTAAGCATCGCCCAGACCCTCCCCTTTGGTCATCTCGTCCAGAATTTTTCTTCTCTGGTGGAGAGTAATCTCACCCAGGATTGCATCAATGTTTAGAGAAACGAGAAGGAAACTAGAACCTATCGTTAGTGAATAATAACTCACACATATATTAGGAATACACTTTCTATGCTTACATTTCTGAGATCTCTGGAATGACTCATAATATCGGCCCGCAATTCGTCGTCCATTGCATTGGGGTCAGTGTCACCATCCAGCCTCATCTCCAGATAACTCTTGACATCATTCTGAGTAGGACTAATAGGTATTTTAACCGCCTTGCGAAATCGTGTCACGATTTCATCGTTGATATGGGGCCTCCCGGTAATGAATATTCGCGTGTTTGGTGACACCCGGACGATTTCTCGCAGTGACCCAAGGAGTTCTTGTCGGTGCTTTGGCGTGGATTCGTCCAGAGCATCGATACATATAAATACCCGCTGTAATGATGTAATGCTCTTCTTCAGAATTTCGACCAGATCGGGTGTTAAGAGACTCCGGCCACCAAATTCTTTTTTGGCCTTCTCAAAAGCCTCCCGTATATCCTCCGGGATTTCTCCTCTGGTGACAAGTTGCTTGAGGATGGCGCCCAACATACTTGTGATGGATTGTTCCTGTTGGGCGAGGAAACCGCAGTAGAGTCCTACAACGGCAACATCTTTCCCCCCGGCCTGATCGCACAGGCTATCAATTACAAGGGAGCTATTTACTGATGTTTAGTGAAATCTGCATTATATTTCTCGAGACAAGAGGTCACCCTACCCCAGATATGTTCTCCCCACCCCTGGGCCCCCAGAACAGAATAACACTCGCTCACCGCAACCATCTTCCGCATCCCTCCATTTTCTAAGCTCGTTGAGTTCTAGTACCCAGTTCCCCACACCCTTGAACCGCCCAGCCCGCACACCATGGTGCCATTGCTGTGGTTCAAGTGGCGATAGCCACTGTAGGATTGGATGTCTCTCGGGGCCTGTTTCTGTGACCAAGTTGACAACTCCGTTCTGGTTGTAGTTCAACACATTAAAAGAGTTGATATTGCCGGTGACTTGCTGGTGCCCTGACGACATTTGTGCTCTAGTTTATTACCCGAATTCCCGTTTCGGAGAGAGGTAGAGAGGGATGGCTTGGAATGAGAATCTAACTCCTCTCGGAGTTTGAGCAAATCTCGAGTGCCTGAGGAAAGCGGGGGGTAAGTCTCTGGTGTTGCACAAGTATGCGCTGGTCGAATTGTTGGTAATGGTTAGCCGGAATTGAATGTTTGAGCGGAAAATGCCGTTTACCTGAATTTCACCTAGCATACTCGCTCGTCTTTGCTAAGAATACCTCCGCCGGCCGGAGTCCACCGAATATTCGCTTTACGGAGGTATTATTGGCAAGGACGAGTGGGTACAGCACTCGAGCATATTGCTCTACGAGTAGAGTACGAGGCTGGCGGGAAAAACGACGAGCCGAGTAAGGTTTTTCCACTGAGAACAGCCATATTCGCGACCTTCCAGCCACTAATCAGGTGAAGCGGTCCAAACCGAAACCTCACCTACGTGATACAATTCCCTGGATTTTACTTTTGAACTATGTATCTAATTAGACTGGTTGAAGGATTTCTAAGAAAGACATGGTCGGTGCATTGGTCTCGGGGCATTTTCTAATGATTTCGCATGTGGAATGGTAAGGCTTGGCGCCAGTTTCTATTTCAACTTTACCATAAACAGTATTGCATGCTAAAGTAGTCAACAGTTCATTCAGAACTTGGGGAGATACTTGAGACAATAATATCATATTTTCAAATTTTTTACAGTCTCAGAATGTATTGCGCAGAAAACGTGAAGAGTGATAACACCTTCTTTTATATGATAGTTGGACAAACTCAACCACCTTAACAAATATCAATCCTTTCATATCCCTCTAAATCCGGAAAAGTCAGGTAATTTCAAGGGTTCCCCCCCCCCCAAAGCATGGGCATTTCTTCTTCGGCTCCCTAACAAACCTCCATTTCTATATGCCCCGAGATATGCAAATGTCAGGATTTCTCGTTCTTCCCGTAATCTGACACAGGAAACCCATCATGGCTTGTCACTCGGCTCCCAGGAGGGTTTGAATGGCAAGTTTATGAGTGGGTGTGCTACGATACTGCCGGGGAGGGGGAAGCGGGTGTGGTGCCAGGAGGGATGCTGTTATTTACGGGATGCGATAGGAACTGGTCTTAAATACATGATGAAGTCCCCCTCCAGGCTTCTAATATGCAGACCGTGCACTTTTGTCCTGGTCTATGCCGTGGCCATCTACGAGTCTAGCGGTGCGATAGCATGAGGTAACTCACCATAAAATTACCAGGTACCGTTAGCCGTGGCAATAATAGCTGTCGCCAACATGAGAAGGTTTGCAGGAAGGTAAAGAGAAGGATCGGGAGCAAATGAGGGAATAGGGGTCCTAGTTAAGGGGGGTTAGGAGATGCAACAACGGTCCATTCATAGATTGTACAGGGAGCTGCGGCGTTAGATCCCAGAAGAAAAATATGCAACTATGATACCCGGCATCTAAAATTTTGGTATAAAACGCCTTTAGCAGGTATTGCAACTTATGCTGGTAATTCATTACGGAATTTGTT